ACACTTATGTGGTGGCCGTGGTTGCTCAAACGGATAGGGTCAGAATTACCCCCCCATTTTGGTCTGTCAGTGATCATCCATCATTGACGATTGCCTTTTTTTTATTATTTTTTTTTGGTCGAACACGAACATTGGTTTTAATTTCTGTTTGAAACTCGAAGAATCCCTTGAATGTATAAATAAATTGTTCTCATCTTCTTATTAATTTACCATTAAAATGGAATGAATTTCTTTCTGGGATTGTGAACTTCAAGACAAATTTTAAATTTCCCTTATTCGACTTCAAGACAAATTTTAAACAGTATTTTTGGTTTGGTTTATGGATGTTTGTATGAACAGGACGACTATCTCCAGCAGAGTGGAGACCACCGTTGTTTGTGTGCATTTGACACTTGACTTGAGCTATGCAGTGGCTAAATTACAAAATATGTATATACTAAAAAGGGGGAATGATTATCTATTCTATTACAAACTTGCAGTTTTGAACTTCTAAATTGAGCGAGTTAAGTCATCTTTTGGAAAACCAACAAAATTGGGTTTTGTGTGGTGATCTAAATCATCTTGTTGAGAGTTCATATTTATAAAGGAAGGAAAAACTTAAGGGTCAGAACTTTTAAACCTTTAAAACAATTTATACAAAATCATGGTTTAATGGAGATAGAAGTGGGGGGTTCTACTTTCACTTAGACAAATGGCGAAAAAGTTATCACAAAGTATTAGAGAAACTAGATAGAGGTTTGGCTACCCCTTGGTGGCATTCTCGATTCCCAAATGCCCGAATTAGGATTACAATAAATATTTTTTCGGATCATGGCTACTTGGTTTTCGAAGCAAACCCCTCTATCCTCTTTGGACCTAAACAATTCCATTCTTACCCATGTGGACTGAGGAACTTGAATGTCAGGACATTGTTGAAACAAACTAGTATAGTAATCCCCCACTTGACATTGTTTCTAAGCCAAGGAAATGTAAAATAAAATTAAGAAAATGGAATAAGGAAAAGTTCGACAAAATTGAAGATAGATTGATGCTGGAGGAGACAAATTTTGATTTTGAAGAGGAGGGAACCTCTAGTTCCATCTCTAAAAGAATGAGACTTCCAAGGGAATATGAGAAATGGCTTCGTCGAAAGGAGCAAATGTGGAGATTAAAATCCAGGGAACTGTGACTTAGTGAGGGTGACAAAAATACAAAATATTTTCATCAGTTGACAAATTTTAAAAGAATAAAAAACTCCATGGATTCCATTAAAAATGACAAGAGAATAATCATGGAATTAGAGGAGATGGCTGGTGCTTTTAAATCTTATACCATCCGGACGAGTGGTGAGACTCATTATAGTGAAGTGAAGATACAAAACTTAATTCAGGTAAGAATCAGTGAATTTGAAGCTGCAGACATTACTCAGCCCCTCGCCCCGATGGATTTACCCCCTTTTTCTTTTAAAAGTTTTGAAGTACCGTAAAATATGATGTCTACTCTCTAGTTAGACAGTTCTTTGTCACTACAGAATTCCCATTAGATTCTAACTCTACAAATTTAGTGTACATCTCAAAAAATAAAACGAGGTTTTTATAGTTCAGTCCACCATTAGGGTGGAGCTAGGATTTCTAGGGGTGGACTGAATCCTGGATTGATGCCAAATTCACGGGCAGGATGCGGTTGAGGGGGGGGCTACTAATAAACTAGGAGGGGGCTGCAATTCAGATTTTTGAGGTGGATTGCATTCCACTTATCCCAAATAAAAAATTTTAAAAATGTTCAACAATTTAGGCCAATCAGTGTTTGTAATGTTATCTATAAAATAATATTTCAGTGTTTAGTGGCAAGAATGCAGTCGGTGTTGGACAAATTAATTGCCCCTAACCAAGCTGCTTTTGTGGAGTTTTAGTGGCAAGGAACTGACAATATTATTGTGGCAAAAGAGATAACTCATAAGCTAAGGAAACAGAGGAACGGGGTAGGATGGATACTCCTAAAAATTGATATGTCAAATGCTTATGATTGCATGAGAAGAGATTAAGGCATGGACTTCTCAGAACAATGGTGTAAGCTAGTGGAGTTTTGCATTTATTTTCCAAAATTCTCAATAAAACTCAATGGAACCCAAAAAGAATTTTTTGAACTGCCAAATGGACCAAGACAGGGGGACCCTCCATCCCCAAAGGATTCAGATTAGTGATAGGAATCTGCGTTCCTTGATTCAAATTTGTTCATTATAAGGATTCAATTTTTTGAACTGTCATCTCCCCTCTTCTTCACTTTGTACTACTCCATGGAGAATCATTTGGAAAGCCAAAGTGCCTCACAGATTCCACGTCTTCATGTGGAAGTCTTGGTGGCACGGTGTGAATACGAAAGATAAATTGAGGTTTTGAGATCTAAGATAAATATTGTACAATCTGTGGTTGTGAAGAGGAAACTTGGCAACACTTGTTCTTTGAATGCCAATATGCCAGAGTAGTTTGTTTAGTAGCACAAATTAGTGTTAACCTAGCAGAAGTTCAGTTGTCTTCTTTTGTTTGTAGATGGATTGGCACAACACTTAATTCTCTGCCTAGGAAAGTTCAAATGGGTTATGTTGCAAAGTTCTTTATAGTCTTTCGCCTTATATGGGATACGAGGAACCAAAAAGCTCATAATAAACAAATATTGGATCCAATCCAATTAGTGAATCTGGCCGATTCTTATTGCATTCCAAGTCTCAATAATGCTACGAATACACAGATCCCATCTTATCATCATCATCAGCAGATAACTCATATCATGTTTGTTGATGGATCTTACATTCCAACTTCTGGTCATCCAGGTATCGGTTTTATAGTGTTATCTAAAGATCTCAATGTCATATATGCTGAAGAAAGGAGAGTTCAGGGCTCTTCCGCAACCCAAGCAGAATGGTGGGTCCTCCTCATGGCCCTGAAGAAGGCTATTAACGTGGGAATTAAGAACCTCTTAACCTTTTGTGATGCAACTACTGTAGTAAATAGTTTGAAAAAAAATTAGCTTTTTTTTTCATGGGCCTGGAGTGTGATGCATATTCAAAAGGAAGTCAGATCAAAATTAGCTTTTTTTGATAATATATATGTAACCCATATTAGTAGAAATGCATAATAGTTTCGAAAATGGGCAGATCTGAAAGGTCTATGTAATCTTGTGGGTGTAGTATAATGGGGAAGACAGATCAGTCGAAGCCCTTGGGGGAGTGTTGGCGGCAAAGAATAAAGATGTTTCGAGATGAGATGGGCGGGGCGTCCCGTGGAGGGTGGAAGAGCCGAAAGGAGGATGAAAAAGCTAGCGGTGCCGTACCTCCATAAGTGGCAGAGATAAGGGTGCTGTATTCAGACGACCCAACTGAGAGCATGGGATCGGTTTTCCACGAAGAATCAGACTTGGTATAAAGGCCAAAGGAACCCATGTCAGTCCCACCACAACCATATTCACGAGATCTACTCCCCTGAACTATACTCTTCGATTCTCTCTGTCTGCCCCATTTAATATTCACAGCACTTTCCTTCTCAGTCTGTCTCATCTCCATTAATATTCCCTACCTCTCTCTCCTGCTTCTAAACAACATATTTATGTACTAAGACTAATTTCAGGATTTTGCCTTGTTTTCATTCCAAAATTAGAATTACCCAACATGCAGTCTGGAATCATCTAAAAGCTAGCCATGTGCTTAACCAGCCCTTAAGAACGTCTTAAGCAAACTTACCAAGGAAACAAGTGATAAATCACACTATCCCTCGTCACATCCAGTATGATTGATTGATATTTGATACTAATAACCGATCCTTAACAAAGACCCATGTGAAGGATCTCCACTAGACAAAAATTCCATCGCTTTTCTAATGGATAATGTTCATATATAGATATGTCTATCAAGGAATTTAAGCATTAATTTAATTAAATAAATAAATGGACTACAAAAATTCTACAAATAAGAGGAAAAAAATGAAAAGGGTAGTATGAGCTGGTGTAGGATATTAGTGGGGTGGTAATATTAATCTTCTCCCACAAAATCTATCTATCTTTCTTTAATTTATTTATTTTTATATTAATCCTGTAATCCATTTATCTCGGGTGATGACAACAAATCCTCTCGCTTAGTTTCCCTTGGTCTTAGCAACCCATGCAATGTCAAATCCATAAAGCTTTGAAAATCACTCCCCATATATATTTTCTTTCATGCCATCGGTTAAAGATCCAAATGGGCTAATTCCTAACAGATTATAACTTGTTTCTCTCTAAACAAGAGGTACAAGACCAGAGAGAGAACTTCTATAGGCAGCCATGCAACACAACTACCAATCTTCATATACATTTTCCTCTTAAAACCCCATTCGGACTCTCCTCCTTTAATCCGATTCGTCCCCTCCCTGTTCAGGGGGACTTCCGGTCCAATCGCCTCCTTCTCCACCACCTTTAATGCTAAGAATAAAGGGGAGATTGTTTTTTGTCTCCACTTCATCAATGAAATCATATAATCTTTCCCCTTTAGGAAATACCATGCTTCAGCTGTGAATTTAGGGCAAATGTGGGCTGCATGGGGTTGGTTTAGTTGTTAGAATGTCCATTTTACTCTATAGGGAAATGAACCCTTGATTGGGTAGCTTGTGCTCTTTTACAAAACTCATTTGGGTTTTATCTTTATTTTTGGTATTATTCATCTAAGGTCCTGCATGTGGGGATGAGGTTTGGTTGAGCAGCCAAGGATGACTTGCCGGAAATCTATCTATAGCATTTTCTTTTCTTTTTAATCCATGCATTTCCGCATGTTTAGATGTATACATAATTAAATACAATTGCATGTGCTGAGAAAAAAAAAAGTTCATATGGATTTGATGAAATAGGATAACTGCTGGTTGGGAGACCTAATGTCCTTATAAACCTTGATAGAGAAGAGGTTAATGTAGACGAGTAAATCGGCAAGTTGTCTTTGGCTACATCTCCGCCTCGTTTTCTCATGCTAGATCTATGGTGATGAAATGGTGGTGGTGGTGGTGACGACTATGACATGGGTTGGTTATTTGGTATGTGTAGATTGTATAACTTTTATTTTCTTCATTAATTAATGCATGATGCATGCGAATTGCCTATATTCCTTGCTGGGATTTGGGCTTTATACTTTTGTTGCTTAACCCTCTTTCTGTTTGTAGATTTTGCAGATTTATTGAAGTAGTAATCAAATCAAGGCTATTCTCTGCATGTGGCTGTACGATGAAATCTCTTACTGTTATTCCTACTCAGCTTGCACTACATGGTATATTTAGTTTCTACTAAAACATCTTAAAGCTGTTTCTTCTCTTCTGAAGTTTGTTTGCTTCTTTTCTTTTCTACATGGCGCAGGAGCACGACTGTTAGATTGTAATAGGTTTTCTTTTGATGCCCCTTCGAGCATTTAGATGCCACCTCTTCTCCAATATTGTTCCATGAACTCTCTCTCTCTCTCTCTCTCTCAATGGGTGGGGTTTGTACAAATTGAGGAGTATTGCAGTAATAGCAGCTCATGCATTGAAGGAGCTGACTTTGGAAACCACAGATTGGTCTATAATCCGAAGAGAAGATTGGAAGGAATTCTAGTTGATGTCCTTCTTTCGCTTTACTTTCTTCCCCTTTTTGTTAAGTGGCTCATTCTTCATTGGGGAGCTTTTCAGAACGAGACTTTAATTGTTATGGGGAAGTAAGATCTCATAGCCTACGAAACCGTTCAACTGCTCATTCTTTAAATTTGTTTATTTTTTTCTCACTCTTCTCGTCCCTCTCATCTGTTTTCATGATCCACAGAGCTTTAGTTTTTAAGCTTGAATGGACAGGAAAGAAAAGAAAGTTCACCATTAAGTTTGAAGATTATAGTTAAATTTTAAGCTACTGAGCTGCTAGCTAGACAATGGCCCTGGATCTAGAGGCATGGTGTTGGAACTTGGAAATTGATGGAATACTGTTGGATTTGTGGCAAGCTATGGTGAAGTTACTTCTCTATCTTTCTCTCTCTCTCTCAACTCCCAACGAATGGATTGCAGATTCACATTGATTATTAGTCCTTTTGACCGTGGAAGTTGGATTACTTTTCGATTGCTTTGCTGGTGCAATATTCGTTGAAGAGGGTGCGCGGGGGATTGACCCAATAACCTGCCAACCACCGGCCATATATCCTTATTTGTTGTTGGTTGCAGAAATGTTTGTTGCTAAACTTTGAATCTCTTGATCGATCTGGAGTATCATGATCATGGGTATGTGTGCCAGTGCAAATGGAGTTGTTGAAAACACCAGCTCATGATGAGTTCCGATTTCAAACTTGGTTTGATGCTTCTTCATTTGACGTTTAAATGGTATATTTTCAATTCAAGTACTGCTTAAAAGTTAGAATAAAGTACTGATGAACTCTATCCTGCTCATAATTATATATAGGTTCAGTTCAGAAGGTAATCCTTGGAAGACTGGAACAGGACGTAATCGTCGCATCAAAGCATATAGGACGCGCGGGATCTCCCTCCATGCTATATATCGTGAGGAGACTTTCATAGTTCACGTACTCTACAAGTTAAAACTTTGACGTGTTGATGCTCCCCAAGTCATATCTTGGCTGAGGTCTTTTAATTGCAGATATATCGGCACCGGAAGTTGATGTATGTCAACCTTTAATTGCAATATTTTTCTGCATTCTCTAGCCTCGGATGATAATTTTGCTTACCAAATGTAATTTCCTTCCATCCAAAATTTGAAAAAAAAAATTTAATAGTTTCCCAGAGATTATTGTTGTTAATTGCTTTTAGGGTCTGTTTGATTTATACTTTATAGGATTAGGGTCTATTCGATTTGTGGGATTTGGGGCCATTCCAATTCTAACCGTTTGGTAGGGCAGAATCTAAATCTCATTCCCATTCTCATTGCTGGAGGAAGTGGAATGACACTCGTCCATTTGAAGGAATACCCATTCCCTCCCCCTTTTCTTTAGAATGAGATCCCATTTTAGCTTATTCCAAATTTGATTCCGATTCCCATCTGAACCAAAAAGACTTATGGGAACAGACCATTCCAGTTCTGACTACTGCAAACCGAATCAAACGACCGATCCTTAGTAATTTTAACAATGTTTTGATGTAAAATATTTCCACACCCTTGTCCCAAAATCCAGACAAATTAAACTACGTTTTTAGCTGCGCGCGGTAGATAAAATTTAATTAAGCTGAACCAATTGTCTGCTACAATTGAATTTATTGCTTGAATTTTCTTTAGCCTTTTCAAGATTAGTACTTGGTGGAGCGATGAATGTCAACCCATAAGCTATAATGTTATCTTCTAATTTTGGCAATGGAAATATCTTTTTAGGGTCTGAATTATCAGTTACGTTCAGAGGAGCATCATTCACAAAAAGATAATGTCTCCACGCCCATATATTAATTTAACAAACGTTTGAAACAAGAATTTGCATGGAGTTGTCGCAATAATTTGGTTGTGGTAACTGAAATTTTAAGCTTTTAATTGTCATTTTTTTTTGAGCATATGCTATGGTCAAACAATCTTATTCAGATGCTTGCTTAAAGCTCTGTTGAACTGATAAATCCTTTTTTCACAACCAAACAACATATGATCAGCCTATCGCTCCAAAATAGATCTTTAGATGGCACGACTGCAAACAAAAAATGTGGGTACTTCACTTATTACTTTTAGGTTTACCAAACACGTTTTCTAGCTACAACCAACCCGTTGAATAATGATAGATATTCGGCTTATGTACGCACATAGAATGTACCTAACAGTTTTCTTGCTTCCTGCAAATGTTGCATCTGGTCTTGTGTTTATACCAAGTGTCAGCAGCAAGCTTGAGCTACCTATATGTGTTCAGTTCATCAGTAGTCTCCTTGCCTCCCTTGGGGCTCTCTTTCATGGATATCACTAACTTTAGCTTGTGTAATCGATTTGTTTGTTAGCTTATTGCGTTTTCCGCATAGAAGTTGAGAATTTTCTCACAGAATCATATATATATATATATATATCGTAAGAAAAGGGCGACGTGGCCGATTCTGGTGTTGGGAAAAAGCATCTACATGTGCGGAGTTCACACGTACGACCTTCACGCATGATTTCTAAGGTTGGTTGGACAAAGACAGGCAGAGTCCAATGAATAAAGGCAGGTTGCCTAAGCCCGATAACCCACTGGACAGAGCTCGATAGACAGAGGAAGAGGCCGAATTGAGCCCGATGGACAACTAGGTTGCCTAACCCGTTGGACCGATGAACAAAGACATATTGCCTGAGCTTGATGAACTGTTGGATAGAGCCCGATGGATTAAGGACAGAGGCCGAGTTGAGCCCGATGGACAACTCGAAAAGAAACGCTCTCTTGCTGAGACGGGTCTGCTCCTAACAAATGGGCGCCTCACATGCACACCCACCGTGCATTGGGAGCATCCTCGTGAATAATAATTAATAACTGCGGGAGATGTTATCAATGCAGGGTAGGATGTGCGTGTGATGCGCCTGTGAGGAGCCAGGGGTCAGAGCAGATCTGGTCTCTCATCCGCTCTCTCTCTCCCTCTCTGTCTCTCTATCTCTCTGTCTCTCTCTTGTCTCACTTCGCTCGAATAGCAGTGGGACTGGCGACTGACGCTTTGAAGGACAACTGACTGAAGAGAGAGGTGGCGGTGGAAGGAAGGCGAGAGGGAAAAAGACTGCGAACTAAAGAGAGAGGTGGCAGTGGAAGGAAAGAGACAGAGGAAGAAGAAGAGGAATGAGAGTGAGAGAGAGAGAGAGGGTGCCTAGAATTGCAGTGTCGAACGGCCACCTTCGACAGAAAACAGGGGCCAATTCCAGTTATCTCACTCGAACGGCCACCTTCGATGTTCGGTTATCAGAGGCCATCTCTCAGTCATACGACCAACTACAGCGTCTTCAACTCTTTAGGTCTTCAGTAGTTTGATCATCAGGTACTTTTCTTCTTCTTCACAGAAAAAACAAGGGCTCTGTTCAATCTTTTTTTTTTTTTTCATTGTGTTACCGTCTTCACTTTTTACACCAAACAGGGGTTCCGCCCACCCCCTTCTTCTTCTTCTTCACGGAAAAATAGGGGCTACGCCCAATCTTTTTTATAGTTGTGCTTCTTCACTTTTTAACTGAAAACAGGGGTTCCGCCCGCCCCCTTCTTCTTCTTCGGTCTCTCTCTCTCATACGGACCCAGGTTCTATCGGCGTTTGATGCTGGTTTGTTTTATTGGCTAGGCCTGGATATTTGGCCCAGGCTCAGGAGTGGCTGAACCTGTCAAAGCCCAAGTTGCCCAATCCAAGCTACTACAGGAGGTCTCTGGAGGGTGATATCACTCACAGGGCTCTTCTCGTCGACGCCGTTGGGACCCTCCTCGTTCCCTCCCAACCCACGGTGCAAGTGAGTATGAGTAATTTTTAGTGTAGACCCACTGATGAGTGATGACCAATCTTGTTGTTTAACTGCTTTGGCATTTTTGAGGCTCTCCTTATGTGCAGATATGTTGATGATGGAAGACCCTTCTTGCAATTCATAGTTGATGATGCGCAATCCAGCCGGTCTTAACTGTCAACGACCTTGCCTCTCAACTGAGTAGCAGGGAACCTGAAACAGAGAAGATGAGAAAGCTCTGGGGGAACCCGGTGTAAAGGCTCCGAAGCTTAAGTTAGAATCTTTCAAAGGCAAGATAAAACCAGATAGTGCAAAGTTTGCATACCTCTTCTTTGGGGGGTGGAGAGCCTTTTATAACCACCTCGCGCACTCATTCCTAGACTTCTGTCAGGTCGGGTATGATTACTTCCGTGCTTCTGCCAGTTCGGGTGTCATCACCTCTGCTGGGGCAGAACCGTCACTGCTCTTTTTGTCGGAGCCGTCTCTGTAACTGGAGATGGCGGTGGCAGGTGACGGTGGTAGGTGGCCGTTGAAGTGCGGCCGTCAGGCGTCAGATCTCAAGTCAGTCAGGTGCGCCGCCCCTGGATACGGACTCCTTCGGCGTCAGGTACGGTGTGGTTTTTTCAATGCTATCAAGGCGAAGTGCTTGGAGTGGGGTGCGAGGCGAAGTCTTGAGTTCGGATAGGGGAATGTCCTGAACTATCATGAGACGGGCCAGTTTGGGTCACTGCTTTGTGTGGCTCGGGGCCAAAGGGAGAGTTCGGGCTCCTCGTAGGGAGTTCGGGCTCCTCGTAGGGTTCCTTGGGTTTCTTCGAGCGTCCAAAAGGCGGGAAGCGCGCCGGCCTGCCTAAACGCTGATAGATGTGGCGGCGCATGCTTTATTTCAAAATTTCAAAAAAGCGCGCCACTTGGGAGGCGCGATAGCGGGCGCCTTTTCAAATTTGAAAAGACGTGCCACTACCGCTTTTATTGAGAAGACGTGCGTTGGCGTTCCGTCAGTTTCGAAAAGACTTGCGCCGATGCTCTGTCAGTTTCAGAAAGACGTGCACCAATCATGTCTCGGTCTTAGGGGACGTGCGGTCAGTGCGGCTGTGGGCCGTCGGATTGGCTTTGATCTAAGTCGTCGCTTTTCGGTCACTGTGAGTATAAGTACCGGGGGGGGACCCCAGTCGTTGTCACTTCTGTATTTCTTTCGAGCTCGCGTCCGAGTTTCAGCTCGCATTCAGTTCGCGTCCAGGTTTCTTCAGTTTGCGTTCAAGGTCTTCTGCTCGTCCGAGCTCCTGTGGTCTACAGCCTTTTTCCGGGTGAGTACTTTCCTGGATCCCATCTCACTCCCTGATGTCTAGCTCAGATAGTCCTTCCCGCGGGTCTGATGCAAGTTCTACGAACCGAGTTGCATCCCCTGATAGCCCTAGCGAGCCGGAGGTAGAGCTCGAGGAAGAGTTCGAACTCGTAGGCCGAGGCGCTTCGGGCAGTTTGGCGTCCACCTCTCGTCGGGGTCGGATGTTAGACAAGTTTGGTCTTTCGACCATGACGCCCGAGGGGCTCCAATCCCTCATTACCTACTATAACTTGCCCGGGGAGTAYGMYTATTTCATACCTTCGGGTAGTTTTCCTTGGGAACACGGTCCTGATGAGATCGTGATATTCCGGGAGTAGCTCGCCGCGGGGCTGCGATTACCTTTTCATCCCCTCTTTGTCGAARTCTTGAATCACTTCGGCGTGACGGTCGGCCAGTTGCACCCGAACTCCATTCGAAATTTGGTGGGGAAAATCTCTTTATTTTGCGAAGAGAGCTTTCCTTTGGACTTGGAGATTTTTTCTTCGATCTTGATGCTTAAGAAGCAAGCGGGTCCCCTCCCCGGGCGTAGGCGGGCATATTTCCTGTCTTCTTGCCCGGGCTTTAAGCTTTTACATGAACTCCCCAACAAGGTCCCAGCATGGAAGCGAGACTATTTCGGGGTGCGAAGTGTGCTGGGGTGGCCGTTTCAGACCGGGTGGGGGATGGCCGCTCCTGATTCCGGGGTCACGCTTGACAAAGAGACGGCGAAGGGCCTCCGGCAATGGGCGCGGCTTGGGCTGAAGTGTCAATAGTATCTGATGGAGGCCAAGCTCATTGCAGCCGGCCTGAGCTCGGGTAGGTTCTTCACTTAGAGATTATGTCTTGTTGTTTTTCTTGCTTTTTACTGATGGCGACCTTCTTTTCGCAGGTGTGATGGATTCTCGAGGGACCCGGGGTGGGCACTTGTTTCAAGGCATGAAGAGGAGAAAGCGGGTTGCCAAGCGAACTCGCGCCGAGATGCCCCGGGATGCGGAGCCCGAGGTGCTGGACTATCTGCCAGAAGATCTGCCTAGGGAGCCCGAGATTGTTCCTCCAATGCAGGAGTCGACAGGGGGCCCTTATGCTAGAAAACATAAAATATGTTATTAAGGTTTTAGTATTTCCAATTAGGATTAAGCGAAGTGATTATCTTAAATGAAATAAATGATAGTATGTGGTAATGGCCATACAACTATTATGCATCTAAACAAATCAATGTATGATTATATATATATAATACATATTTATATATGATATGTACTATAGAGTCGGGTTCGGGTTGCTCAAGGGGTCAATCCTAACCCAACTTGAAATAAAATCAGGTTCATAAATTTCATCCCTAACCCTAACCCGAGCATCATCCCGACCCAACCCAACTCAACTTTTTCAGGTTGGGTTAGGACTAACTCGGCCCAAGTTGCAACCATAGTGGTGTTAGATAAAGTTGGTAGAGGGTTGGAAGATGCTTTGTTGGCAGCTAAACTCTTCGAACCGCAGCGCTCATCTCATTCAAATAACAGAAAACTCGGCTTTTTTTACAACCTTGTCCTTTTACTCCTTTAGCCTCTTGCCAACTCGAGATCGGCTTCCATCAAAGTAAACTTGTGCCCACACTGTTTTAATAGTCGTTTCTAACCTTGCATTGGGAATCTCTCTCCATGAAATAAAGCACATAAGTAGGGAGATATTCTCAATGCAAAGTAGTAAAGGCTACTCGAACGGGCTTTGCCTTGACTGAAGCTGAAAGGGCTGCTAGTGCAAACTATTGGTCTTGAAGAACTGAAGTCGTTGACCTATTACTTATGAGTAGGGCTGTAATCGGATCGGATGTAGCAAAATCCGCATCTGATCCGATTAATGATAGCATACATCCGATATCCAATCAGATTTAAAGACTTGGATCCAAATCCGAATCCTTACGAACTTAGATTGGATTCAAATTTAATCCAACTCCGCTATAAGTTTTCTAAAATACCAAAAAATTTAAAAATTTATTTACTTTTTTAACCTTTATATATAATAAATTAATATAAATATAACACACTAAATTTATTATATAAATTCACATATAATATAATATATAGAATATATTTTTATAATTTTAAATATAATTATATAAAACTTATATATTAAAATTAATAAATATTATATTATAACCGGATTTAGATTTTAATCGGATCGGATGGGGTCACATCCGGATCCGATCTAGTTACATATATACACCATCCGAATCCGAGATAATCGGATTAGGTCTCGGGTTTTCAAATATCATTAACAGTGCTTGTGAGCTTGGGCAATTGGCAGCAACACCACTATCACTATGCATCTTAGGGTTGGCTCTTCCTTTTATGCAAAAATGCTTGGAGAATTTATGATTCGTTTGGTTGCCAAGAAATAGTGGGAAGAGAAGGGATGGGATGAGAAAGGAAAATTTTATTTTCTCATTTTTAGTCCCTATGTTTGTTTGTTGAGACCCACTATCCTATAAAATCTGCTTTCAGTGTTTGGTTGATGAGAGCTGAAAGATCCAAGAGCAGATCTACAAGAGAAGTTTATGTTGTTAGGACAAATAAATCATGAAAAAATCAAATTCATGTTAGATTTGCAACAAAACACTTTCGGTTTAGTAGATCTATACAATGAACAGGGATTTATAGTAACAAAAAAATAAAATAAAAGGGTTTTAGATCTATCAACCCAATAGCAAAGGGTTAGCAAATGGAGAAGATATGGGAAGAAGATGGGGATGAAAACTGACCTTCGTAGAAGATGAGGATGAGAAATCCAGTCTCTAGAGACGAACCCGTGCTCCTTGTCCGCCAAGCACCTGAAACACATGGAAGGAAAAATGTTCTTGATAAAAATGTAAAAAAAAAAAAACACTAATTATGTGTGAAACAAAATCCTGTCTCCTTACCGTCTAAGAAGACAAAGACAATATCTTGTCTCCTTGTCGTCTAAGATCTAAGATCGAAGTTAATGGAGGAAGAGAAGGGTATTTTTAGTGGAATAAAACACTAAATAGCGTGAAAGGGGATGTGAGTACTTACCAGAGGCTGTAAACTTCGCCAAAGATGAAAGATAAAGTGGTCGGAGTTCAGACCATTGCAAAGGTGGGAGATGAGAAAAGTCCACCCTCGACAAAATTTTCTCACACTCGTTGCACAACTTTCGTTTCTCACTAGAGTTGCACCTATTTGGTGAGACCCTGCGTCCCTTATTTTGAGAATACTAATCCAATGTTCAAAATATCAATATGTATCAGCCGATACATATCATGCCGATGGCTTCCCGATACGACCCTACAGGGATTGTATCGGGCAGACACTGGTTCAAAGGGTGGTCAGGCCTTAAACCGATCCCTCTAAACCTGTTTTGAAAAAAATAAATAAAACCTAAAAAAAGTACCAGTACAGGCCAATACGCCAACCTATATCGATACTTTGAACCTTGTACTAATCCCATCTCATCGCATCATATCTCTCGAAACAAACATAAATAAATAGAAATATTTGGCAAATATTCCTATTTTCTCATCCACTTCACATGAACAAAACGGACTGTTAGTAAAAAAGTGATAGCTAGGGTTTAAGGTATATTGTTTTCCTAATAGTACACGTGTTATACATCATGTGCTTGGTTATGGTACTGTTTTGGATGTTTGGAACTCTATCTTTTTGTCTCGTAGTAGTTACTTTAATTTGATCATCAGAAAATGGTTTCGCTTCGCCAAACGTATAGGAGAAGCTGAAGGAGGCATTTCCCTTATATTTTATTTGTCTTGATTCTTAGAATCTAGAATCCAATTTGAGACCGAATCAGTCCCCACAACGTCTCACAGTACATCCCCGCCATGTATTGGGAACATTTCCCAATGATGACATCATCATGCAATACACGGCGAAGATGTGCTGTGGGATGTTGGGGGGGGGCTGATTTAAACTCATCCAATTCAGCAATTCTGAATTCTGAGTACAAGAAACGAGTTATGAGTGGGAAGACTCAGTTAAGTCAGATTACTACTGTAACAATGAAGATTGAGCCATTGAGGGGGGTTGGTGGTAGGGGTGTCAATCCGATTGGATTTGGTTCAATCCAGTCCAATGAATATTTTGGACTGGTCCAGAAACTGTCCGATCTATTCAAATTCTTGTTAACTTGGATTGGTTTCAACTCAACCTGATCCATTGACATCTATGTTTTTATCTTCTATCAATGGATCAGATATTGGATCAATCCAATATAAATTCATTATGGATGGACCAGGTCCAATCCAATATGTCATATTGGTCCATCCAGTCCATCCAAATTCAATGTCTTATTGGTACATTGACACCCCTAGTTGGTGGTGACTCGTGACTGGTTAAGGACGGACGCCGGTAGACCATTCATGTTAATGTGCTTTTTCTTAGGAACACTCGGCTCTCATGGTGGGGCTTGGGTAATAGTACGTTAGTCAGATTGGATGGTGTATGAAGAAAATTGTGGATCAACGCCGACCATGCGTACGTGTACGCGACGCTGAGCCATATGTGACTGAAATATACTTCCTGTTGAGGGTCGACTAAGGCTGCACTTATCTCCTTTGTTGTAATTAAAAACTCAGTGTTTATCGGGGCATTTTAACAGTAAAAAGGAGATGCGTCCTTGAATGTCAAATGCAGTATTAAAAGCTCAGTGTTCATTGAAGCATTTTAACCGCAAAAAGAGATATATCCTTAAAATAAGGAATGCCAAATGCAGCCTAACCTACCTGCGTTAGCCGGTTAGGAAAGGCGGAACTCAATTGGTTTACTGACAAATAAACCCAAAGATCATAACCAACTAATCATACATACCTCTTTCAATCACTCACAAACCTATGAATATCCATCTTTGTTGACTCAACTATGAAATATATGGTTACGAAACAAATCCGTACATTTCGTCTCTAGCATAAGAATAAATAAAGGGAACAAAAGATATATAAAGTGGAGAAAAGTAGGCAGTGTGGCTTGCTAAGTCGTTTATTAAGAGCCCAGATAGACCTTGCTATGCACCTTATATAATTAATGGCAGCACCTGGTTTTAATCTGGTATAATCTCAACTTCAGTTTCTCCTTGGCCGGAAATGTTGGGTAAAAAAGGAAAATAAGAATATCAAACTTTCCAATGAAGCTGCCCTGATACGGATAAGAAACACTGCAAAGAAAATAAATCCTAGTGAGGTCTTAAGAGAATGTGGATAAAGAACCATCACAAGATAAACATTGTAGTCCTATAATTTCAAGAAACTTCTTCAAAGCTTTTTTTCTTATTATTATTTCTTCTTTGCATCATGATTTTGAAATCTTGAACTAGCTTATGTACCCTTATATTGTGAAACTTGAATTCCCCTTTGGCAATTTAAATCAGAACATCAATCTTGATTCTTTAGGTCTTTGAATGTATTCACTTTCCATATCATATTCATGAAGCACACTACCCCAAAATTCTCCAAACCCTTCCGAGTTTCTGCTTAGACTTCCACAACTAGTTTACAGGGAATGCAATACCTCTTTCCCAAGATTCCTGACACCCACAGCTGCATAAAAACATCTATAGATTTACTAGATAGGAAAAACATAAAATAAATCTCTTGATCTCCTATAAGAGATCATTGGATGCTTTTCTAGTTTAGCAGCAACTACTGGAATCTCTGTTTCATTCTTCACATTTCAGAACTCAATAGAGTTGGACTCAGAAATTAACAATATATCTCTGAAATTAACAATATATCTCTTAATCTTCTATCGCAAACAAACAGTCAAACAATTTCAAAACATATCACTAGTTGATACCGAAGCACCTTCTCTGGCCAACAGTTCAGTATAGGCTAAAAAACATGAATAGACAGCCCAAAGGACCCTTGTATCAGGTTCCAAGATGCACCATACAGTAGTACTCGCTGTCTAGCAAAGGATACCCTTGTATCAGGATCAGTAGATCACAACCTTAGTTTGAAGAACTTCCCAGGTAAGAAAAGAAACACCATTTGATTCGACAGAACACCCCTCCACATCAATAGAATTATATTGGTCAAAAACACCTGTTTTGTCAACATATAAACAGTTTACTATTTTTCGGTTTTACAGAGCCAATTAATTAATTATAGATGTCAAGTCTAACCAGGTCAGACCCAATTGTCCTGAATAATAATTGGTTTGGTTGGTCTGTCTTATAGAACCGATTAATAATTGGTTTGAGACTAGTCCACCCTGTCCTGAACCAGACCCAACCCATTGACAGCTGTAGGTCTTTAAGCATATATCTCATTAAGTCTCTTCTAGGTCTATAAGAAACAGAATTGGCTGTAGGAGATTTTGAGGGGAGGGGGAGAGTTATAACTTATCAAGAAACAAATTGCACAGCAATCTTGATAGCATCATGTAATGATAAGCAAGGTGAGAAAGAGAGATGGAAATATATTATTCAGAATTCAAATTTATATGCAAAACAGGATATACAAATACAGGGCATGCTTGCAAAGCAGCTAGTCTCATGTTCTTGGCATACTAAATCCATTGCATCTAAAATCCACAAGGATAAAAGAATTCAAAGAATTAATCAGTTATAACACAATAAATGACAGAACACACTATTTTCTAGTGAACCATGTAACGTTTCTGTGCAACAAAATTCTTTTTTTTATAAGTAAAAAAGAAATTCATAAAAAAAGAAAAAGCAAATACAACCTAGAGAGGTGTTGAGGAAACACCTCCAAACAAAGCTAAGGAACAACATTCTCCCAAACACTTTCCTTCGAACCCAAATCCCATCACAACAACCCCTCAAATATCTTACAAAACCAACCACCCCATAAGAAACATAAAAACTAAAGCCCAGAATTTGAAACATCCGCATGAGCACACAAACTAAGCCCGGGAACCAAATGCAGAACAACCACAGATAGACAAGCCTCACCCTTTCACCTGCAGCATACCAACAGGACACTTCACTTCATCAACGAAGTCAAACTCCTCTCCTTCACCTTCCTCCCATTTCCCACCCTCCTCCTCAACTGCAGTCTTCTTATTGCTTTCCTGCCTTCTATTCTGTTCAAGTTGTTCGATTGCCTTCCTCACCACCGCTTCTCCCCCCAAAAAGAAAAGACCAAGAGATTTCCCAACTGCCAACTGTCTATCTACTAGTAGATCAATGCCGACTTTTCCTCTCTCCATTATATTTGCCTTGGGAGTTTTTTCAGCTTTATTCCTTCCTATTTCCTTCTCCCCCTCGCTACTCCCTCTTCTTCATTATTTTTCTCCTCAATCTTCTTCCTGCTATCTCACTCTTCCTCCAAATTCCTCTCATAATCCTTTAAACCTATACTTATCCTCCTTTTCCCCTGTGAGAGCTTCCCCTCTTTGATAACTTAAACCAATGCTCTGAGCCTTCTTGTCTGAATCCACAGCTAAACTGTTTTCATCACCTCTGTTTGCCAGACAGATCTGATTTCTAGATATTAGCTGACATCCTTTCCTTTTGTATTTTCTATTAAATCTGCCACATGAACGAGCTTCCCTTTGCTGGATCCTTTCTTTTTTTCTCAACTCCCCTACCTTGGGGTTTTCATGATTAGTCAACTTCGACATAGCTTCAACTCTCCTCCTCCCCAGGTCCCTCCCCAACTTTCCAATGAAAACCAATGAACTCAAAACTTCTTCGCCCATTCTCTTATTAATCTCATCACTTGTGACTCCCCCCAATTCCTGGACCAAATCTTTGCTACTGAAGTCACAAGAGAACCTTACTGTTTGATGAGGTGAAACTCACATTCTCTTTTGGAAATCCTTCCTTATCCTGATTTCCACTCATTTCAACTCTTTCTGCCACTCCATTGCGACCCTTTGCCCCATTCGGAACTTTGATTATTTCTTTCACTGAATGAGCGGCCAAGTCCTTGGTGAAAACACTTTCTTGTGCATCGCCATCTTCCAAAACCCATGGAAGTGCTTTGGAAACTATCTTCTCTGAAGTTGTTACAGCCTCCAAATGCTCAGAAATGCTCAATTCTTCCGGTTTCATGAACTTCGTAATCACCCACTCCCATAGCTCCTTCTTCCTCTTACCCTAGATGCCAAAATATCTCGAAGCAATTTGTTTAAAACCTGTTACCTTCTTTGCCCTCAGCTGCGAAAATGTATCCTTCCTCACCATCCATTCTCCCTTGAACAGCCATCCCTGAACAAATTTCCTCTGTGGTCTCGCATGATTCATACGCGAAACACGAGCAGGCTTCAAAGACAAAGATAGACCAGAAATAGCATCCTTAAAACTCAAGGCTTTAGAAGTCAAGTGGGCAGAAGGCTGGATTTTTACAGAGGTCATTTCTTTTAGGTCACCTGACCTATTCGGCCCGAGACAACAACCTGAGTGTCCAGACCTGCCCCACCCATTTAAAGGCGTTACTGCCCTTTCATCTTATCATTTTGAAATAAGCAGTCCTCATTCAAAGGTTTCTGACACTCAGAGACGGTTCCACTTCCCTGACCTCAAGCTCCTCCCCCTCCCTCTCCTCTTCTTCTATCTAGGAGTCAATTGGACACATCATCATCTTCCTCAGACACATCGAAGTTTCTCCAATAGCATCGCTTTAGCTTCTGATGCAATCCAGACTCTGTACCAGCGACCATCCGCTTGCAACTCCACTGACCTAGGGATAGCTTCAGGTCGCACCCCCGATATTCTTATCATTGCAGCATGAAGATCCTGTACCATTGCCTTCGCAATGTTTTCGAACACTCTCACCACCCAAAGGTCGAAAGGAAGGCCCAACAGCTTCAGAGAAACAGTATCGAATGAAATAAGCTTACTGTTACAATTTAGGAACCAATACTCCACTGGAACCGCACCAGCGCCAGTTTCTAAGGACTGCAAATCCGCTAAATCTTCTTTGAGTTCAACGATTGCCTTTATGCTATCAAAAGACCTAATTGATAAAGGGGGATGAATATTTAATTTGGTCCCAAGAATCTCCAAAATCGGTTTCCAGTCACCCACTTCCTCTGCAGTTGTTAATACCAATTTTGTTCTTCCAGCTTTTTTTCATCATTAATAACCATTCTCAGAGCCCCCATCTATCTTGCCACTGTCAAGATCTTGCCATTCTCTTCTCAACTTCATACCCTTTCGAAATCATTCTATTCAGACCTTCCCCTTCGAGCTTCAATTTTTCCTTCCTGAAAAGATACTCCTGAAGCGCCTCTGCAATCAAGCTCAGCCCCTTCTCTGGAATCCCATTGGAACACAGATTCGCCACATTCTTCTATCTATCAGTTTTTCTGTGAAAGCAATAAACCAGCCTCTCTCGTTTCTCTTCATCACTGCATCATAAACTCTTCCCTCTTTGTTGAAACTGTTTCTCCATTCAGGAATCCTAATAGCATTAACAGCCAACGTCCAGGAATCCTTTGAACCAACTTATCGCATCTTCACAAAGGAGCGTTGATGGCCAGTTTTTTTCCTCCTTGAGCTCCAGATAATCCAACCCATCGCATCTCAACTCTGCCAAACTAAAGTTCTTTGCTTCAATCACAATTTCCTTTGACCATCCCATTATTCAATTGTGTAATCTCATATTCAAGTTAATCTCATGAGGGAAATGCACCATTTGCAACAAAAGTTTAACAATGAATGATTTTTTCGGCTCACATATGATCCAACAGAAAACTACAAATCCTAGATTTATTTCAAAGAAAATCAGACCTATGACTGCGGCAATCCCTTCAATAGGGAACATCACAGCAAGATTCATGTTCACCACTACAGAACCACCTAGTTATTGGAGGACGTCCTTGCTGCTGTTGGGACTCATATCGAGGAAATACAAAACATCCCAATTAATCCTTCTGATATAGATATTCAAAATTAGAACAACTCTGGAAACCACCAATAGCTCCTCCCTGTCGAAATCGCCACAAACCAAACCATCTATATAAACTCAAGTCCATCTCCAGTTCCTCCAAATCCCTATCTCAAACTTTAACCCAACATATATAGTTTAATATAACAGGTCACAGTTAAAGCCAAGAATCCTAGATATACAAGTTTTGCAGTTGGATTATTCTACAAATTAAACAGTATATAAGCTTGAAATGCAGGAAGAAATAGAAACCTAAAAGTGGCCTAGATCTTGCCAATTGTAAAATGAAAAGATATTCTTGACGATTGATGACTTTCGCGACTAGAAACTTAGAAGCTTTGATGAACAAGAAAATGTAGAAAGAATGTCACAGATAGAATTATGAAAAAATAAAGATCAGATCTAAAAAGAACAAAGGTACGAGTAGAGATTCAGAAGAAGAAAGATGGAAACTGAAAGAAAAGGAAGGAGGACTCCATACCTGGCGTGAAGATTTGTTCATCTGGGAGGCCTATGTGCTCAGAGAGGAATGTGAGAATGAAGTGAGGGTTTTTCAAATGAGAAAGATCCCAGAAAATCAAAAAGACCAGAAGCTTCAAGTGAAGCTTTCCAAGTTTGGACAATTCTGAGCTTTATTGAGCTTTTGGGAGGCCCATCTTTTGGGCTCTCTGTATTTTGGTTGCCAAACAGGAAAAGCTCAAATACAAGGTCTTCTGAGCTTTGAAAAGCCTGAAAGACCCATTAGAAAGACTTTCCAAATGCCCCCTTAACTTTACAAAACTACATCTATACCCCAGTAGAATTTGGGATGTAATACTTCATTTTAAACATTTCATACATAGCTGCTTTGAAGAAGCTACTCCACAGCCACCTAGATGGCTGTACCACTACTAAATTTGGCTCTCTGAATTTTTTACCATACATTGCTCACATGTTCGAGAGGTGAGGCTGGAAGCGAGCAAGAGAGAGAGAGAGAGAGAGGCCACAAAAGTGGCAGAATGAAAGCCCTCATGAAAACAAAAAGAAAAAAATGATGAGAAAAAAAAAAAAACATAATCAATGAAACATTATTAATGAACCACTTAGGCAGTGTTTGCCAATAAGAATGCTTTTGTTTTTCAAAATTGCCACATCAGCAAAAAATAAAAGACATCTTCTTCAACTTTGTTTTGTTTTGAGAAGTTAAAAAAAGATTATCTTGTTTCCAAATGTTTTTGAAACCATTAAAAAAATTGTGTTCAGTCTTCAAGCTTTTGATAAGGCGTGCAGCAGAACAACCTTGTCTCTTCACCTCTGTAGCTCAACTGAACTCCAACAGATACAATGGAGTTCCACAAATCTGGATTCTGGCATGACTTGAAATCAGTGAAAAAGCCATAGATCTGAATAGATTAAAATCCAACTGTAAAGAGGGTTTAGATCTATTCTGTGGCAGAACAACCCTATCTCTTCAAATATTACACACACACACATGCAAAGAATAAGAGCTGACTAACCAATAATTAAAGGGCAGCGCAATGCACAAGGCTCCCGCCAATGCAGGGCCAGGGGAGGGACAGATGCACACAGCCTTACTAACCAATAATATGCCTATTAATATGGAATAGATTAGGCATAAGCCCATTTGAGAAGAAAAAAAAAGAATAAGAAAACTAATATACATTGGATTAGAATTTATGTACAAATATTATATGATTTATGAAATATATCAAATCACCAAAGGAAAACATGTTTTTGAAACTAGAAATTCAAGAATATGTATTTGGTTTCAGTTTTGAAAAGAAAAAAAAAAAAAAACATACAATCAAGGTCATGTTTCCTGTGTTTTTGGTTTTTTGAGAAACAATCTGTTTTCAAACCAAATATTTTTAATTTGTTTTTGGAACTGGCACAATAAAAACAATTCAAATTGGAGAATGCCCCCTTAGTCAGCATTTGGTAACTGGACTAGCATGGGGAGAACTTGCACATGTCCCAGTGCTGAAATTATCAATATTTTAGCCCCAAGGATGCAGCAATCATTCTTTTGATCAAATGGCACTTTCACCGGCTCCATTTTCAGGACTTCATTTTTCTCTGTTAGCTTGGAAATTTATCAGTTTCCAGATGGTAGTAATTCAATTTCAGAGGCAGAACAGGACCAGTATGGCAGGGCAGAGCAGAGCAGAAGCATGTGGGGGGAACAACTGTTTTTGAGCTTTTGAATTGTGCAAGTAGATGGAACATGTATATTACATTTTGTATTGAATGGAAATATAAATTTGCTTGTCTTAACTATGCTTTTTTTTTCCAAAAAAAAAAATACAGGTAGTGTTAAACTTATTCATGATTTGCATTGTAGCACAAACAGGAACCGTCCATTTCATATTCAAGACAGTTGTTAATCCCAAGGATTAAAATATCGATACGATACGTCCGATATGGAGCGTATCGTATCGGTATCGGACTGCACCGATACGGGATACGCTACGACTGCAGGTGAATCCTGCCACTCGTGCGTATCAGTCTGATACGCCACCTTATCAGCCTGTATCGCATAGTATCGGCCGATACGCGCCAATACAGAAGCATATCGACCAATGTCTCACAATAAAAAAATGGGGGGAGAGTGACTCGAACCCAAGCTGGTGAATGCCCATTGCCTAAGCGAGCATGTACATTAACCACAAAGCCATTTGTCATTTCATGTTAATACGTGTAATAAAATAACTTTTATTAAACTTAATGTTTACATGCAAATAAAAAACAACATACATTTGTTTTCAAAAACTTGAACTATAAATTAAAAAGAAGAATATTCAAAATTAGTATTCTATAAATCAATGGAATAAATAATTTATAAAATCCACATATATATATACATACATATATATCAAGAATGAATTTTAATTTCAAAAATTTATACAAATAATAGAATAATTATTTTAATACTTAAATTTTATAAAATTACATATATATATATATATATCTTAAATTTTATAAATTATTAATTAATATTTTAATTTGCATTAAATAACAATGTATTTAATATTTACAAAATAAAAGTATTGTTTACAAAGTATTTGAAAATATAATATAAATTGAATCTATCATATCCATTAATCTACATTTTATATAAAAAAATAATTTTTAACTTCAAAATTTTATAAAAATAAAATATTAATAATGGAATAATTATTTTAGTAATTAAAATTTATGAATTTTCATATGATATGCATTTTCAAAATTTTAATAGATTTGATATATTTTAAGTTAAGATTATATATTTTTATAAATTATTAATTGATATTTTAATTTACATTTTATAATAACATATTTATTGTATGCTTTATGCCTTACACTTTAATAGATAATAAAATAATATTGGCTTTTTGTATGTATTAATTTGTAAAAATCTATATAATATTTGCCTTGGAATCTTGATTGAAGCATTATTAATAAAATTGTATAATATCTACATGTCCTGCTATATTAATTATAATATATTTCTTCATATGTATATATATATATATATATCATTTAAATATACAATTCCTATATATTTATATATTATTTATAGTTGTTTTGACATTAAACTTAATGCTATTAAGTTATTTATGGAATTTGAGTGCATTTTCTTAGTGTATCCAAGCGTTTTCATGTTTTTTCGTTCGTATCCATGTGTTTCCCAAGCGTATCCATATCCGAATCCATATCCAAGTTGCCCGATATCGATACTTTAATCCTTGGTTAATCCAGACCTGCATTTTAACAGAATCGGTTTTAACTAAAGAAGATGCATATCACCATTGGCAGATTTCAGTTCTCACTGAAATTCACAATGTAGGTAATTACAATAGGATACAATTAGTTATGAACTAGCTTACCTCATCAGACACTGTATTGATGAATTTCAACAAAAGCAGTGGGGGAAGGATAACTTCAGCCACAAGGGTACTATCACAGTAACAAGTGTCAAGTAGTGTGTATACAACACCAAAAAACAAATGCAAACAGCTCTTGGATTCCGGTTGTCAAGCAAAGGATTGTAGTTTAAAGATCTTTCATCAGTTCATGGAAAAATACTGTTTCAGATTTTTCTTTTAGAGTTTATAGGGTACTAAATAACCAAAATCAGTGGAACCTTCTTGTTAGATCTTTTTTCCTCCTTTAGGATTAAGAACAAGGACCATGTATCCGACTTTCCAGATTAAACAGAGAGCTAAGGACATTCTATAACAAGAGTTCTTAAATGATAAATTCTAGAGAAGTGAAACTAAACCATCAAATTCCAGGACAAGTTGTAATAAAAGCCTCAAAATTCTAGATATTTATAAGATTACCAACAAAACATGTTGGCAAAAAACACGTAGACCAAAGCGCAGATTTAAATTTTCAAAGTATGAATACATCAATAATTATAAGCAATTCTCCAATGCCCAGTACACTGTAGCCACTATGTCAATATGGAATATTCAACTAAGCTCATAGGAAATCGCATTGATTCAGCAACAGAAACATTTAATTGAAACTAACCTAGACAAAATTTCTTTGCCAGAAATTGCAATGGTTCTGAGTGTCAGTCACACCCACATGCATGCAACACAGAGTGAGAAGTATTACAGAGAGCCTGAGAGAAAGTATATGGATGCTTAATTCATGGGCATCAATGTTTATAAGATGCTGAAGTCACTGTAGTCAACTTACCATGTTGGTACATGACAAAAATCTTGGGGGTAGAAAAACACCCCAGTGCCTGTGCTTCATCATTCAGCAATTAAGTAGGTCTCAAGTTGCTGAAATGCTGAATGGCATGAACCTTTCAGAGTTCTGTCAGCTCCCCTATTTCAGCAGTTATCAAGCACCATCTTAAGCCTGGGTATGTTATGTCATGATGAAATTAGATCTTCAGCTAAATATTCAGTTTTCAACATCAAGATTAGATTCTAGTGTAATGACAATATTTCTGCATTCATCTATGCAAGACTAACTAAAATCTTGTGAAAATCACTGACACTTTTTTTGTTTTCCAATTTCTCATTTTCTGAATTTTAATGAGACAATTTTCCCTTATAGCTTGATCAGATAAATCCCAGATTCCAATGAGAATGAGCAATAACTTCTTATTCACCTCTTCATATTTTATTCATGTTATTCTGTTTTTTCTTGTCTCTTATTTGCAACAAAGCAAACCTAGCTAGCTAAGATAATAGCTACACCTTACATCACACATATATCACCCAGACAGACACATAATTATCCAATCAAGTAACTATAAGAAAACTACACAATGGTTGTAGTCCAGTGGTAAGTTTGAACTTCAAAGAAATCAAGTATCATGGAAAAAAAGAAATATTCATTTTGTAGGAAAGGTAATGCAGATTAAAGATGGCAATTTATGGGATAAAACAATCTCCATGAGCTTGGTTTGGTTGGTTTAATAGTGTGGTACAACAGTTTGGGTTGTGCAAGAGCTAAAAAATCTGTCAGGCGATCACAGGTCCTCTGATACCAGTTTGGGTTGAGAAGAAAAACGATCTGGATTGATTCTAGAATGAGGAAGAACAGAATAAGATAAGGAAGAGAAGAGATGAAAAAATTAGGGCTAATGGCAGAAGAGGTTGAACAAATTCTCCTCTAAATGCCACCCTCTTTTTTTTATAAGCATAATAAATAGACAAATTGCAAAAACAACCCTGATTAAATAATAAAGAGGAAAAAGTCTATTATAAGCCTGCCACCAATACAACTGGAAATATACAGCTTCTAACACAGTGAAAGGGAAATATGAAAAAAAAAAATGATCATCAATCTACCTGGCATTCAAAAGTAAATCTATTGAGTAAAGAAAAGGAAAAATAAAAAAGATATGAATTTGGAGCAATTGAAACCAAAACGGTAAAACCTGCAGAAGAATTTAAATTCAACACAGAGGCCATCCAAAACCCAAAAGCTTCACCATTACCATCTTAAACCTTCCTAAATGGAAAAAACAAAAAAGCTATAATGCACCTATAAAACCATAAACAAAAACACATTAGTCCAAAATACCACTTGAAATGGCAAAGTAAATACCCAAATCTGATAAGGTTCAATCCTCATTAGTTACTTCATTGGTAAAAAGATTGATTTCTCCCTGATTGTTTAACTAGTCTCATCATATTGACCTGATGAGCATTTCAAAATTAACTGGACCAAAAATAAAGAGATCTTCTAGCATTCAAGCTCTAGAAGCACCAAGAGAACATTAGCCATTAGAATGCCTAGGTTCTATAACTAAGACACTTGCGTTCAATAAGAAGGGGAGAGTATCATCTTAACTGGGTGCTGGAGTTCAATAGCATTTAAAATTTTAAATGTGATCACGCTCTCTATATGTTTTCATCAAATATATCTTGTGCATTTAGCCTATTTAGTTCTTTTGCACCAGAAGCTAGGAACAAAATTTCTTAGTTTATAATGTGGCAGATGAAGCACATAGCTGCATGGTATGTTTAATCAAAGAGTGCAAGTGTCATCTAAACAGTTACATCTTCAACATGGATATATTGAAATTGCATATTTAACTTATATTGAAAAATGAAAAAAAAAAACTATGTGTACCTTGAAGGAAATAGCACCATGTAGGTATTCTCTTGCTTCAAGGGTTCATTATGACGGCTTTCATTGTAGCCCTGGCACATGGAAAAAAAAAAAAAAAAAAAGAGCAGGCATTACAATGTTGAAAACGTGTGTCCAATGGAAGAAATCGATTCCTGAACCAAAATGGCTAAACCAAAGGAAATTTTCAAATTGCTTTGTTGTATTTGTCATGGCAGAATATAAACCATAGGCCTTGGGGCAATCGTTGGTTGCTCCATTGCGACCTGGGTGACCAGGGTTCAATTCTTGGAAACAGCTTCTCTGTAGGTGCAGGGTAAGGTTGCATACATCTATCCCTCCTCAGACCCCGCATTGGTGGGAGCCTCATGCACTGGGTTGCCCTTTTATCAGCAACCATAAGATTATGCCAAAAAACAACTTCTATTCAAAATATATATATATATATATATATATATATATTAGGAATGTTGGAATGTAGTATTTCTGGATGTGGCACCAATGCCCAGGCCAGGAAGTTAGAGTGGGCAGTGCCACAGCTAAAAATGTTAACCAAGTATAGCCATTCACAGCCTCAAAGACAAAACCATGCATATCTTGCACTTCAATATAACTATTTTTTTCGATGGTTAACTTCAGGATAACTTATGAGACCAAAAAGGGGGTCTTCATTTCCTAGATGACAAGCAAGGATTGTCAAGTGTCAACTGAGCTCAGTTCCACCTATTCCTAAGATACCGCAAGTAATACAGAGGCCCACATAGTGATGAGAATCTTGCTAAGATCTATGAAGAAAATAATAGATTTGCCTTAATAAAACAAAAAGAATGATAGAATATGCATACAAGCAGGTGGAAAACAGAAAATGAATATCCACCTATACAATACCTTTGACCTATAACCATGGAGAAATACAAGTTTGCAGTTAAATCACAGTGTGCTTGATGAGATGGTTTTCATTACTTACAAAAGAGGCATCAGTTGCGACTCAATTTTGACATTAGACATTCATCATCTCCATTGAGTCAAGGGACGCATCAATTCTGGAAATCAGCTTCAATCTCAAAGTCTACCAACGAGAACTACCAAAGAGAGGTCAGCCTGGTTATTGAAGAAGAAAATTAAGGCCAGCTCAGATATATGGTGCTAGATTATCCCAGTTTTTTGGCCTTCAAATCATTCTTCCATGTAAAACCACTCTGAGAAAGAAGCCTTGACAAAAAACCCCTTCTTTCATTGCCATCCTTATCATTGGAATTATTTAAGTTACTTATGAGAAACCAATGGGTATCAAAATCTGGAACATATCCATTTCGTTGCATCTTATGTAAAACATTGGATGCCTTTTGTAGATGGTTTTCCAAACAATACCTATTGATCACAATATGGTACATGTTCTGAGTTGGAATCAAACCCAACTGATGCATGGAATCCAAGAGCATTTCTGCTTTTGCTGTTTGTCCATCTGCACAGAGTCCAGAAACAAGTGCATCCCAAGAACTGATACCTGGCTCAAGGTTCCTATTCAACATCTCAGAATGGAAATCAAGAGCTTGCCCCAGTGCTTTGTAGTTACAGAGACCTTGTATGACAGAATCATAACTGGTGAAACATGGAATATTCCCTTTCTTCAGCATTATATTAATAAGATCAACTGCTTTGTTTATTCTTCCATGCCCACAAAACCGCTTAATCAGAACATCATAACTGGTACAGTTGGGAATCAAACCTTTATTTCTCAACTGGTCCAAAAAGATTTCAGCTTCCTGGAGCCTGCCCTGAGAAAGAAGACCTTCAGCAATTGAATTTTGAATAACTGAACCATGAACCCAACCTCTTATTTGCATCACCTTACTTAACTCTAAGGCTTTATTGAGTTCCCCATTAGTACAGTAGTGCCTAATCACAGTTGTCAAGCTGCGATTGCTTGGTTTTAAACCCTTATCAATCATAGTCTCTAGAGTCTGCACAGATTTCGGAACATCCTTACACTTATAGTAGCCATGCACAAGAAAATTATAAGTTACTTTATCAAGTAGCAGGTTCTTCTTCTGCATTTCACCTAAAAGTGTTGTCACATACGAATTGTACCCTGATCGGAAAAGGTGGAGTATCAAAATGTTATAAACAACAAGGGAGGTAGAATTAATCTCTCTTAACATAAGTGATTTGATGTTCAATGCATGAAACAGCCTACCCTTGAGACACATAAGGCACACCAGGTTACGATAACTCAAGATTGAGAGGCTGAAGTTCTTTTTTATCATCATACCCAGAAGCTCCCTCACTTTGGTCAAGTTGCTTATTTTACAAAAGCCTTGAACCATTACATTGCATGATTCTGCATCTGGCACTACCCCCTTTGCCAACATTTCCTGGAATAGGATAGCTGCCTCCCCAACCTCCCCTATATCACAAAGCCAATTTGTTAGAGCCTTGTAGACAGAAAGATACATGGCAGGTTGCTCTCTCAACATTATCTCCTTGAGAGCCATAATTTTCTCTAATTTGAAGGACCTGCATGGATGATGGGCTACCAGAACCAACACATCCAGACTTGGGGACATGTTGTTTCCTAGCATGGTATCAAGCAGCTCTAAGGCTTCTGTAAATTTTTTCTCCTTACAGAATCCTCTTATAAGATGATTATAAGCTGACTGATCCAAGATCCATCCCTGCTCTTGAACCTCTTCCAGCAAAATGTGCCCAATGTTTGTAAAACCTGAGATACAAAACCCTTGAATAAATGTGTTGCAAATATCAGAAATTGAGTGACTACTGGATTCCAGAATGATTTTAAGAAGTTCTAATGCTTCCCTAAACTGTCCAAGTAGGCATAGATGACCCAATAGGGGCTTACAATCCTCAAATCTGGGCAACCAATTATTTTCCTGCGCAAGCTCCCAACATTCATTAAGTTTCCTCAGGTTCTTTTCCTTGCAAAATCCCATGATCAGAGCTGTAAAGGTGTCATTCTCAATGGGCTGGCACCTTTGGATCATCCCATCCAAAATTATCCCCCCTTTGTTTGTGAACCCCTTCTTGCTAATTGCTCGGATAATGCAATTGAGAGTTTCTTGGTTTAGTTGTCCAGCTCGTTCTGGCATTTCCTCCAAAAGAGTGACACCTGCCTTAAAATGGAAACGGGACACAAATAAACTCTTCACCAATGCTGAGTATACAGACAAAGAGAGCTCTTGCCCTGCCTGGATCATTTCATCTTTCAGCTTAAGTGCAACTTCTGTATTACAATTACTACATTCATTTAATATAAGTTGGTTATAGTCATGAACCATAGAATCTTCTAAAACCCCCCTTACTGTCTTCTCATACTCCTCAAGGTTTGTTTCTAAATAGAGTCCATTTCCAAGGGAATCAAAGAACTCTGCTTTTGAAAGTCTCTCATCGTTATCTCTTTTAATCTTTACAGATAATGGGTTGAGCCCCAAAAGCATAAATGCCTTGGGAAGTAGATCCTCTGATGGTGTTAGTTGAACCAAACCCTGTTTCACCATCTCCCTACTAATCACCTTTGCTTCATTAAATAGTCTATCTTTACAATACCCAGCCAGAAGAATCTTGAAAGTTGATAAATTGGGCCTAATCCCTTTGTCAAGCATTTCGTCAAGAATGCCACTTGCATGTTTCCACATACCCTCCTTAAACAACCCACATATAATAGCATTATAAGAATGTATATTTGGTCTTAGGCATCTTGAAGAAAGCTCTGATAAATAAATAAAGGCATCTTTTAGTTTCCCTTCCCTGCAACTCCAACCTATTAAAATCCCAAACGTTATATCATCAGGTCTGAAGCCCAATAATTCCAGATCTTGCATGAAAATGTAAGCCTTTTTCGTACCAAAATTCCTACAAAGAGAATAGACAACCTTATTGCAGATAGAAGCATCTGGTACACACTTTCTTTCACTCAAAAAACTCAATAAATCTTCAAAATCTTTCTTTCCGCAGTACCCATTAGCTATTGCATTAACAACGCACTGACTAGGATATAGACCTGTAGTAGTAACCTTCTTAACGAGATTTCTGGCCTCTTGAATCTTTTTATCCTTGCAAAGTAATCTCACAACAAGCTCAAAAGTCGCTTGTTCTGCAGTGCCTAATCCAAATCCCGCCTCTATCATATCTATGTAAACTCGAAAAGCTAGTTGACTCTTCTGCATTCGAACCAAAAGATTAAGAAGAGCCTGATAACATGACAATGAAGGAATTATACCCCGATCCCTCATTTCATTGTACATCAAAATTGAAGACTCTAACTCCCCGCGACTAGCGTATCCTTCGCTTATCTTACTGAAAAATTCATGACTGCCCGGTAGAGCCTCCACAGTTTGAAGCAAGGATTTAGCTTCACTGAGCGACCCCACTTGGATAAGCATGGAGACCATGATATTGTAGGATCGAGGCAGATGCTCAAAATCCTGGCCCTGGTTCTTAGCCAACTGGAACAATTCCCACAACAGTTCCACCTTTTCGGTTTCATATACAGATTCCCCACAATCAAATTTGAAACCCAAAAATATATCAAGGACATCTTCTGGTTTCAATATTGAAACACGCCAAAAACGGCGAATTGATGCAGGTGATATATCAGAGAGCTTAAGGAGAAGATATTTCAGAGAAGGCTCTACAATTGTCTCGCCTTTCTTCTCCCAAAGATATGAACACCTCGAAATAACAGAGCTACCAATAACGGAACGCCGAACCAAAGGTAAATCTAGGTGGGCTTTGTTCGCTTCGTCTCCAGATAACAATGTGGGTTTCTCAATAGAGCATGACAATGTTTGATTTGTAGAGAAAGCTTCTCCTCTAATATAGAAAAGAAGTTTGTGACTTGGGTTAGACCGTCCAAGCTTCAAAGGCGGAGATTTTACTCTGAAGTAGCTATTCTCAAAACAGAAGAATCTCAATGGGTGAGAGATAGGACAACAAACCTGAAGATTGAAAAGTATTTTTTGCCAGCGTACGTGCTGTTTAGACGATATCTGCTGCAATTGATTCAACAAAACCTTGTGGGTTATTCTCATCGATTGTAAAAATCTCTTTCTTTTTTTTTCCGCTCAACTTGTTCAACTCGGATTTAGCACCGATGAATTGTGAATTACAGAGCCGGCACAATATATAGGCAGCAATACAAATCCAGAACGTATACGTATGTGATCGGGTGCGACTATTGTACTCTTAGGTTCATAGGCTCTACTTAACGTCCATGAAAAGGAAAAATCTAATCAATCTATGACTCGATCAGGTCAGATTATTGAGAATTTGTGATTCCGATTTATGAAAGAGTAAATGACTATTAAGGACCCAGAGGGCCGGAAGCAAAGACGTCAACGAATACGTGTACCAGTAGAATTTAGCTCATGGTCGGTGATGAAGAGATCCAGGGATCAAAGCACCCTGAACCGTTGACTTCTGGTGATAGGTGTTCTGGTTCTGGGGTTTTATACTTTTTGATTGATCTAAACGATGAAAGCAGAGCTTCCTTTGGTATTCACAGACAGGGGTTACTAAGAGGATAAAGAGAAACTGCGATTCCTTCTTCCCGGAAGACAGGAAACAAGAAGAAGTAAAGAAGAAGCACGAATGGATCAGAACTGGACGTCTTTTATCATTGGAGTGATTGGCGCAGTAATAACATTGTCTGCCTACACGCAGACCCTTGTCTCCACCACCCAATGCGTCACACTTGGTCTCCTTATTCTTATGTTTGGTCTGCTTGTAGGAGAGGGTCTAATTTCTCTCTGAATAATGCAATCTCCCTGAGGTTAGTCAACCATGGGTTTTGTTTTTGTATTCTAGCTTCAGAATATCATATGTTTTTGTTCTTGATTTTCTGTAATTCTGCAATGGTCAAGATCTGCTGTTTAGTCTAAAAATATTGTCTGAGACTGTTGTTTTATGAGAATATGGAGTGTGACCGAAAACCAGTCTTATGGTGTTGTACGTATTTTAATTTTAATTGTAAGTAATGAAGAATTAATTTCCTTGCGGTTTGGGACTGGATATATCTCATTCGATCAATTTTTTCCCTTCCTTGAAGATTCGAGAAGCAAAACATTAGTTCATCTTTTTAACGAAACAAGGTTGAAAGATTGATTCAGATTAGTTTGCTTGGGCTCATTGACGACTATGATAATTCTTTTTTATGTCGATGAACTTATCCTCTGTTAAAATCTATAGATTACAAGTTTGTGCGATCCTTATAAAATCAATGTTCTATTATATATATTCTTTCGTCCTCCATTCATGGACCTTAGCTTCCATCCTGCAAATTCATACATCTTGCTCCAATGAACAAAAGATAATATCTCGAGGGTGACAAATGTAAAGTCTAGAACACCAACTGGATAACTCTGCTAGAAAAAATTAGGAAGAAAATCGTTAGGGAATTTTATGGCAACCCTTAATAATATAATACTAGCGAGGGCCCCTGCGCAAAACATGATAAATTTGAAAGAAAAATTTGGAAATGAAGAAATTAATAGCGAGGGGCCCTGCGTTGTAGGCGTTAATGATAAGGAATATGAAATTAAACTATGCAAAAAATAATATGATCTTCGGTTTTCACCTTTTACATTTTACACAATAGCTACCTAACCATCCCCCGTCCAATCTAATCCCCCTTGTCTTTCAGTCAATAATCAAATAAAAAAAGATAAATAAAAAGCCTTAGTAATTGCTTATATATTTCTTTTAAACTTTTAAATTAACAATACAAGCAAAATTATAAATAAAAATATAATCAAATGCAACAAATAGAGTAACTAGAGGTTGCTTAGTGGTTATATTTAATTTTAAACAGAAGTAATTGCCAAACATGAAATTAGACGATACAACTCAAGTGCTATACAACTTAATAATAAAAATAAAAATTATTATTATTATTATAAATTAGATAATTTATTTTATTGTTTTTGAAAGTTTAAGTAATTATCGTTTAGTTTTTTTGTTATTATTAAATAATTGTTGTAATTATTTAAAATAGTTACTATAATTTTACTAATTTAGTAAGTAATTTTGAACAATTAATTAAAGAAAGGGAGGCTCACAGGCCACAACAACTGGTCTACTTGGTGCTAAATATTTATTTAATACTGATTGAAAGATTTCAGAGGTGGTAACTATTTTGATTTTGGCAAAATTTCAAAACTTGGAGAAAAAAAGGGAGGACTTCATCCACCCTCAAACGTTTAAAATCTGATTGTTTTTTCTACCCTAACCATGGAATTTCTTTTGAGAGAGAGAAAGAGAAAATTACAGAAAACCTCACTCACAAGCCAAGAAATGCCTCAACTTCTATTGGATCATATGACTTAGACCAGTCCAACAATACTATTGGGCCCGCTTAAATAAAATTATAAAATAAAGCCATTTAATTAATTTTGTTCACCTGACAAACGATGCACTGTGCCCTTAAAGGTCAATTTGGTTAAGGGTGGATGAAACTTCACACTTGATTGACAAAGTCATGAAGTCATTAACCTAATACCAATGCATTGCAACCAAAATAAATAAATCTCAATAGATCATGTCAGAATTGATAAAACTTTGAAGTGTACTACTCTTAAATCTTCTACTCAATCAAAGTCAAACACTTTTTCGAATAGGTGTATTCAAAGAGATTTTATCATCTGAAAAGTAATAAAAATGCCAAATTTGCCACTGTAAAAATAAAATCCAACACTGCTGCTGATTCTCCCCTTATCTGAGATTTTATATTCCGATGAAATCCACCCCTGCTAATTCTCCCCTTACCAATGATGCTCCCACCAAAACATCCACATAGAGGCGCCCTATGTGAGGCGCAAATCCTAATTCGTGGTAGCTGCAAATACCCAACAAAAGCTGCACATATCACATGTATTTTTCAAGCAATGAAGATGGAATGGTGCCTTGAACCATGTGACCAGGCCCTCCTATCCATCCTTGAGTTCTAGTACCACCATAGAAGATGTTTTCAATATATGACAGGAATGTGCTGTGGAACGTTGTGGGGCGCCCTCTAGTGGGGTGCAGAAGTGAACTCCCCATCCTTACTCCTAAGTCCTTACAACAAATCTACGTTTCAGCTCTTTTAAATCCAAATTTTCAGCCCTGTTTCCATTTTAAATCAATTAGAATACAATTTATAAAAATATAATACATTTTATTTTTAAAATAAACAAAAAAGTGGCGATGAGACGGAGGCAGCCCGCGGAAGCTTCGACTTTGGGCTCGATCATGGGCTCCATCAAGCTATAGACTAAAGTGATCTGCGTTGCGTTGCTGAGTAAGATGACAATGCAGGCATTGGACCCAACAACTTTTTTGCAAATGAAAAATATAAACGAAGAACACCAATTTCGAAGTAGTAGCAAGTAAAATAAATGAACAGAATGATTCCAGAAGGGTCGGCTAATAATTGGAAGCAATAGAAAAATGAAAATGGAAAATAGAAAACAATTAAAATGCATTAATCACACAATACTTACAAGTAAAAAATAAATGAATAAAATAATGAATATAGGCGGATCACAAGGTACAAAAAGATTTTAAGAGTAAAAACAAATGTAAAAAAGATTCTGTGAGTAGGAATTGGTGACAAAAAGTATTAAATACAGGGAAAAAAGGAGCCCGGATCTGCTCCACACTGCCTGGCGCCTTGCAAGTTCCTCACAAAACGTGAGGACCACACGCGTCCCCAAATTCATGTCAGTTGCATATACGAGTGTAAAGTATTAATTGCCATATCTTCCCTATCGAGTATTCCTCCTTCGCAAGTCTTATTTCTAATTTCCTGTTCCTGGAAACTCCTAGCGCCCTCCACCGATTGCAGTATTTTCTCCGATGGAAGGTGATTTCACCGACGATAATACAAAGTCACTCTGCGATTATAGACGAAACGAGACTATTGATATCTCTTATCCTGCCTAAACTCTCATCCCTCTTCCATTCGACGAAGGACCCAAACTAATAGATAGCAAAGCCACGATTCCTCATCACCGTTGTCTTCACTCCACCGTGTCGCCGACGATTCAAACTTGCTCGGTTCTCTATCTATTCCATCGTCTGTTCGATCGAGATTTATTTACTGATAGATAGCAAAGCAAACAACGATCTTCTTTTTAAATAAAAAATAAAAGAAATCCCATATCTCTTATCAAGTTCATCATTTCCTTTGAACCGATCATTTACAATCCCAAAGTCCCAACTTGACGAAGCTTTCTACTACTCAATGGCTTTGCCAAATTCAACGTTTTCTCGAAACAACAGCCCTAATTTTCCTTCTGAAACTCTTCCTACTTGTCCGGTAATTCTATGGCTCAGCTCTTCAGATCCAGGTCTTGTAGACCTGGACGGATATCGGTGTTGGAGTTTTCCACTCCGACTCCGTCATTATATCTGACTGATAACGAAGACAGAGGAGAGGAAATTGAGGACGGTGACGATTCCTTTTCCAATCCCATTTCCACTCGGTTGATAATTCCTGTAGGGAGAGGGAGGTGCCAGAGATGAGCATCATCATTTCCCAATTCTGTTAATTTTACTAGTGGCGTTAAAGAAGTCATTGGAGACATGCAGCATGGAAAGGGAGGATATTTATGCCATGGACATTAACTGGCCTACCAATGTGAGGCATGTCACCGACCTTACTTCCGATCACAAACAATGGCATTCTCGGTTTGCCCATTGGGTTCGAAACTGACGTCCCTTCTAGGGTCCCCAGTGCCAGGTTCCACTCTCGTACTCTGTCTGCGACTCTATATGTTTTCTTCTTTTGCTCAAAATCTGCTTCTCTTTACAAAAATCCGTAAGTTATAAGTGGGCGATAAATATTCCATGCTTTTGGTTTATTATTACGTCATATTACGGTAAATTTTGACAAAATATTTCCGAACTATGTAATTTTTCCGTATTTCGGGTAGAATTGTAAGTCTCGTAGAGACTTCGTATTATCGCCGGTGAAATCGTTGTCCGTCGAAGAAAGCACTACTCAATCGGTAGAGGGCGCTAGAATATAGCAGGAGTTTCGCGGGAAAGAACAGGAAATTAGAAATAAGACTTGCAAAGGAGGAATACTCGGTGGTGGGGGTAGGGGGCTAACGGAATGGTGACTACCAGCAATTAAGGCTCCCCACTGGTGTATATAATTCACATGATTTCATCTGCTTCGGCCATGATGAAATCAACTTGTTGATTTAACATATGCTAATCAATAGCTACCCCTACCCGCCCTACACTTGAAAAATAGAATACATGTGCAAAATACAGCACCACCATCACAGGCGACCACTACCTTCGTTGTCGGCAACCACTACCACTTTCATCATGTAAATCACATGAACTATAAACCTCCAACAAACGGCCTTAAATCCTGCGAAACAGAAAACGGAAAAAAAAAAACAATAAAAAATATCATGAAAAACAAAAATGCAGTAAAAATAAAAATAAAACCCTAAATCAAAAGGAGAAAAGATGGCATCAATTAAACACTACACACCTTCAATAAATAAACTAAAAACTCTATCCAGACCAAAAATCCTGCGAAACAGAAAACGGAAAAAATCAGTAAAAAATAACATGAAAAACAAAAATGCTTGAACATTATCAAAGAAAGCTTAATGAAAATTGAAAAAGACAGTAACATAGAAAATCCACTTGAAAGGAATGGGAAAAACAACAAGAGCAAACTGAAGAGACAAAAAAAAGAATACTGAACAAACAAGGAAGGAAGAACCCCCTAAAAGCTGATAGGAGGAAGCCTTGCGGGGGCACAAGAGCTTTAGCTTTAGAAAGTAGAGCATGTTAGATGAATGGGTTGATGGGAGGCATAGAGTGTATGTCAGATGGGTTGATATGAAGTAGTTGATAGAAAAGACCAAAGAGAGAGAGAGAAGAGAGGGCAAGAATGACCGTCTCGCACGCGATGGGTAAGCAAGCATCCAATGGTTAAAAGCGTGAAAAGCAAACTTTGTCCACCAGTTTGGAGGCAGGATGACCGGCTCAAAAGATATTAAA